ATGGTTTTATGTATTTGTATCAGAATATCTGTATATGACCACAAAAACCTTTGAAAATGAAATAAAGGAACTATAACAGCGATAAAAGTTTTAAAATGGACCAAAAACGTGCAATGAAATAATGTTTATTTATGTTTTATATAGCCCTGATTGTTACGTTGCAGATCGTAATTGTCTTGAGAGGCAAGTAATAAGATTGTGGCGTAATCCGTATAACTTTTCCATGAGTTTACTAATGGTAGCAAGTTGAGGTATCTCGACACGAGGCACACATTTTTGTAACTACACGACCATGAGTAGCTTAGTCACAATATACATGTTTAATGTAAGACCTGTTCTTCCTTAAGTCGTCAAACGAATGCTAAAATTTCATTTTCTTCATATCCATAAACTTCATAGTATATCAAATTGGACAAAAGTATTTGAGGTATTTGTAGTTATTGAGTCTCATATAAATGACGGAATCTGGCATGCATATTCCTTTTAACAGATATTGTCAAAGTTGATGTATGTTTGCCTGCATATATACTCTCTGGCCTACACAATGTGCTTTTCAAAAAAGTCCCTTTTTAGCTCCGCTGTCTCTCGTTCAGTCGGTTGCAGGCTATCGTGGTGATATGAGAAAGTTCGTTCTGTTTCACTGCAGAATGCGTGATTAGCACAAGCACATGAGCACTTGTATCCATACAAGTAAGTAGACTTACGTGCACATATGAAAACATAGTTCGTACTAATCGCTCAAATGTGTGGTTCCTGCAACTGTATAGACATCGACAAAAGCATAATGATTAAAGGGAATAAATCAACGTCTATAATTCTAAATTACTTTATATAACAGACCTCTCTTTAAGATACTTTTATCATTAACAAATATTCTATACTCTTGGAAAACGATGACATTTAGAAGTACTTTTAATTGTCTCAATGATCTTGAATTTCTTTCTGCACTATTTACTGTCCATTATTCTCTCGGATATCACTTTCTATGCACTAAATGTTGCAGAGCCGTAAAATCCTTGCAAACGATGTAATGCCAAATAGCAATGCCAAATTCAGGCATTTTATTTTACATATAGGTGTTGTGGTGTGATATCATTGGCATTTTTCATAAAATAATTAAAGACGTTGTAATTGCCAACAATATTATTTAATGCAATAGCAGCTTTTTTTGTGGCTTCCATCCAGCAGACAACTGATGATGATGGCTAAGCCATCGAAAGCTGCTATTGCATTAAATAATATTGTTGGCAATGACAACGTCTTTAATTATTTTATTTTACATTAGTATTTTATTTGTCGGACATTGTATGGGAAAGAATATGTTATCTGATAATAGAAGCAAGGAATTCACAATATTAAACACATTTAATATTTTTGATAATATTCTAATATGTTCGAGAAAATGTTAGTGTCATAAACGAGATAATACAATAATTTTAACATTCGCATTAACATTTGCAGGATCGCGAGATGTAACACAACGTAAGACAGACACAAACTCACAAATTTTTCCATATAGAAAAACAAAAAGTTGAAATATGTTGTTTAGAAATCCTCACATTAATACACAAAGATTGAATTATTCCTTGAAGTTTTAATCCATTTATTTTAATGGTTGGATTCTCAAGCATTTTCCAGAGAGGATTATCAGTTACACAAATTTGTATCCAACTATTCGTTGCTCTTTGTTTTGTTGTCGCTGCTTTAATCTTAACATCAGGAAGATCAATTTATAAGAAACGTGATCTTCCAACATTACGACAGAAGCGCTAGGGTGAGTAACACTCAACATCTTGTCTCTAAACTTTATACTTCCGAGTTCTTTGCAGCTTCCCTTTAGTTGCCCCGTTCCATCCGTTGTTACAGGAACATCTAAAAGCAAAAGTTTCGACTTCAGTTTTTTTGACGTAACGGCTTGTGAGTTTGCCAAAACCTGTAAGCGTTTATTGCCTCATTCTTGCACTCAGCCGTTTCCGTTGATTTAATTTCTTCATTTTCTGAAAAGACCATTTCTTAAGAAAGCCCACGCTTTGAAATAGGGATGAAACATGAGAATTTTTCACCCCTAAACTAGCTATCCCTAAACTAGTATATTCACGGCATTCCAATCTATCAAAACCTAGCTATAATAATAAAATACTGGTTTTCATACTCAATTCGGATCATTCATCCGATTACGCATAATATACAGGATTGAAATATTTCTCTTAATATATATTCATGTTTTAGAATATAGAGGTTATATTATTTAGTTTGTTGTAACACGTGTAGGTCTTGCACTCAGACGTGTTAGAAATTAACCCATCTTCACAGACTCATTTCCATCCCCGGTTCTTCTATGTATTAAAAATAGAAATCAACAAATTTTGCTTAGGCAATCCAGATCCTTTAAAAATTCAGATTGGAGAACATATCTTTTTTTTTACCTTAAAGTAATACAGAACAAACGCGACACTTCGTCGTGAATTAAGTTCATTTGAGAGACTCATCCACTCATGAAAATCCAACAATAGAATTTAACAATACATCAAGTGTGCATTGATGAAGGTGGTGTATTTAAAACCCTATCGCTTCTTCTATCCATTTTTTCTAACCTTCTATATGCTGGACACTTGCAAGCTGTGATACATCATTCCCAATAGATTCCATGCACGTGAAAGAAAGTGCTTCATTAATATAAATAATATTTGAAACTCTCTTAGACATAACTTTATTCGTAGAATTATTTAACACAATATATTAAATATTTCCTGATACACTCCTTTGTCCCTTCGGGACTTTTTGTTAACGAAACGTTTAATTGCCCGTGTGCTTTTACCTACAATATTTTGTAATGTAACCAGCATTGCAGGGTTAGCGTGCTATACGATGCACCAGGTTGGGGATAAAATCGCGATTTCCGATCAGGCAGTGGGACGTCTCGTTCGTGATCATTTGCATGTTATTTATTCCCAAGTTTCTGAAATCTGCAAGGCGCTGCACGGCTGCCTTCCGGGGCCTGGCCCAACGAACAACGACGCTACGCGGCAGAAGGATGGAAGGAGTGACAATGGAGAGAGGCAACGAATCAGGAAGGGACGTTCTCCTCGGCAGTTTCAAACTCACGGCACTTCATGTCAAGACGCCCGACGCTTCTGTCCCCCGCCCACCCTGCCCCTGCCCCCATTCGCTCCCCGCCACTCTCCACCCCACCACCGCCGCACCCCGCCAATCTCCGCCGCTCCCCGTCCGCCTCCGTCCCTGCCACCGCGCCTTGCTAGCAGCTGCCTGCGGCGCTCGCGGCGGAAAGAAGTTTTTTGTCGACCCGCCGCCGCCACGATAGCAACTTGTGAAAGTCGATACACCGGCCGCACAGCCCGCTCTACGCCCGCAGAAGACCGCGAGTGCCCCTGTCTGCTTCTTGCCCTGCCTGCCCTGCCTGCCTGCCTGCCTGCCCTGCCTGCCTGCCCGCCTGCCTGCTCCTGCCTGCGTGCCTGCCTGCCTGCCTGCCTGCGTGCCTGCGTTGCCTGCCTGCCTGCCTGCTTGCATGCCTGCCTGCCCTGCCTGCCTGCCTGCAGTGCCTGCCTGCCTGGCCTGCGTGGCCTGCCTGCTGCCTGCGTCCTGCTGCCTGCCTGCCTGCCTGCCTGCCCTGCTGCGTGCCTCCTGCCGGCCTGCCTGCCTGCTGCCCTGCCGGCCTGCCCTGCCTCCTGGCGTGCTGCTTGCCTGCGTGCGCGTGGCGTTGCCTGCGTCCTGCCTGCCTCTTGCCTGCCTGCCTGCGTGGGCCTGCTTGCTGCGTGCTGCGTGCCTGCGTGCCTGCCTGCCTGCTTGCCTGCTGCCTGCTTTGCCTGCCTGCTTGCCTGCGTGCCTTGCCTGCCTGCTTGCCTGCCTGCTGCCTGCTTCGCCTGCTTGCCTGCGTGCGTGCGTGCGGTGCGTGCCTGCCTGCTTGCCTGCTTGCCTGCCTGCTGCCGTGCCTGCCTGCGTGCCTGCTTGCCTTGCTTGCCTTGCCTGCCTTCCTGCTGCATTCCTGCCTGCGCCTGCCTGCCTGACCTGCCTGCCGTGCCTGCCTGCCTGCCTGCCTGCCTGCCTGCCCTGCCCTGCCTGCCTTGCATTGCTGCCCTGCCTCAGCCTGCCTGCTGCCTGCCTGCCTGCCTGCCTGCCGTGCCTGCTGGGGCCTGCTTGCGCTGCCGCCCCGCGCCCTGCCTGCCTGCCTCCTGCCTGCCTGCATGCCTCCCTGCCTGCCTGCCTGGCCTGCCTGCCTGCCTGCCTGCCTGCCTTCCTGCCTGCGCCTGCCGCTTGCTGCCTGCCTGCCTGCCTGCCTGCCTGCCTGCTGCCTGCGCCTGCTTGCGCGTCGCTGCTCCCGCTTCATGCGCTGTGCTCCTGCCTGCTGCTGCCTGCCTGCCTGCCTGCGATGCCTGCCTGCCTAGCCTGTGCCTGCCTGCCTGCCTGCGTGCCTGCCTGCCCTGGCCTGCCTGCCTGCCTGCCTTGCTGCCTGCTCTGCTGCCTGCCTGCTTGCAATGCCTGCCTCCTGCTTGGCAATGCCTGCCCTTGCCTGCCTGCCTGCCTGCCTGCCTGCCTGGCCTGCCTGCCTGTTTGCACTGCCCGCCCGCCCGCCCGCCGCTGCCCTGCCCTGCCTGCCTGCCTGCCTGCCTCCTGCGTTGCCTGCCTGGGCTGCGTGCCTGCCTGCCTGCTGCCTGCCTGCCTGCCTGCCTGGCGTGCTGCCTGCCTGCCTGCTTGCCTGCCTGCTTGCCTGCCTGCTTGCCTGCCTGCCTGCTTGCCTGCCTGCTTGCATGCCTGCTTGCCTGCCTGCTTGCATGCCTGCTTGCATGCCTGCTTGCATGCCTGCTTGCCTGCCTGCTTGTGTGCCTTCTGCCTGTGTGCCTTCTGCCTGTGTGCCTTCTGCCTGTATCTGTGTGTGTGCCTCTCTGCATGCTTGCTTGCCTACCTGTTTGCCGACCTGTGTACTTCTTTCCTGACTGCTTCTCCTCCTGCCTGCCTGACCGCCTGTTCGCCTGCATACGCACTTAACTCTCTGCTTTCTTACTTTCCTGCCTGGTCGCCTTGCGAGCTTCTCTGCCTGTTTGCCTACCATCGTGCCTGTCTATCCGATTAAATCTCTGCTTTCCGACCAGCCAGCCAGCCAACTTCGCTCTCTGATTGCCTGTCTCTCTTGCTAGCTTGCTTGTGTACTTTTCTTCGTGCTGACTTGACACCTTGTTTGCGATCTTGTCCGACATCATTCCTGCTAACCTGCTTTCTTAGCTGCTACCATGCTATTCCCTCCTCTATTTTTTTCCATCTCTAGATTTTCTTTCTCACTTTTCGTTTCTTTTGGCATTTCTTCTCCTTTTCCCAATTATTTTCTACATCCTTCCCTACAAATACCATAACTATAACTTTTCTTTGTTTCTCCACACCTCTTTTGTCTTTTGATTCTTCGTGTCTTCCTTTGCCCTCTAGGTCCACTTTGCCCCTGTTTCTGATTTCTCTACACTTCTTTGAAATCCATATCACTTTATTTTTTAAATCGTTTATCACCGGTCATACCCACATCATTTACTTACGGTATTATAACGTTAAAATTTAAAAGTAGGTAAAAGTTAACGTCTGGCCGGTTCGACACATTTTTATCTGTATTCACAATTTTCAAGGAATGGAATTATTAATATTTTAATGTTTTATTTCTGTTATTGAGAATTGAAAAAAATTAAAACACGGACAATTATTTATTTCTTGAACTCGCATGCTGAATAAAAAATTTAACACTATTCGTTAATACAGTTACCAATGAATTAGATAACAGCGAAAATACGTATGATGAATCTCCATATTAACATCCACGCATCAGTATTCCTCCCATCTCATCAGTACCGATGGCTCAATATCAGTCTAGCAAATACTACCATCAGCTAGACAGTCGTTAGCTGAATATCAGTGCAAGATAATTAGCGTTCGAATATCTTCCAAATGAATCAAGCCACATAACGAGGGTCCATAAAGTACAGCAACTAATGACATGTTCACTACCACACTTACGGAAATACCGCTGGTGAGGCAAGTTCAAAGAGGCATTTCGAACACGATACCCAGAGGAAATAACGAAACATAATATTATCAATGTACGTCTTTTATTTTTGCCATGCAATTATTTTTGTAATTAAAAATTACATTATTGTTGTTGAATATCACTTGATGGATAAGATGATCTTGCAATGTGCAGCAGATTTCAATGAGAAAAGATGTAATGGCAAGATGAAGAATAACATGATAGAAGAGAGCCGTTTTTATAAAATGTGGACAACATATTGTGGCGAAACAGCGCGCCGTAATTATATTATTAATTAATTTGCACTCATTCATGTGCCATGCTTTGGGAGTCGGGTGTCGCCGCCGCACCGCAGGGTCTTTTCTCTAGGGTGACGGGGGCGCACTCGGAACTTCCATTCGAGAGTAGGTAGCAAAATTCGCCGAAGCCCCGACTTCATCTCTCTGCGACTCCGGGAAACAAAGAAATAGCGACGCCAGCCGGCTAGCCGACATTTGAATTTCATTGACCGAGAACACACGTAGGGCACATGATTCCGAAACAACATTTCGACAGCTGTCTGTCGTGAGAGGGAGGCATTTTGGGGCACCCGGAAAAACGCGTGCGCGGACCCAGAAGTGTCTTCTGTGTTGCAACGTGGAGAGCTTCTAGAGTGAAACTTCGAGAGCGGTTGGCTAAACGGTTAAATGAAACTGCGAGATCTGTCCCTGACCAAGCGAGAGGTCATCGCATGTACTGAAACTTCGAGAGCTTTAAGAGTGAAACTTCAAGAGCGGTTGGTTAAACGGTTAAATGTAGCTGCACGATGTGCCCGTGATCCAGCGAGTGGTCATTGCATGTACTGAAACTTCGACAGTTTCGAAAAAAAAACTTCGAGAGCGGTTGGTTAAACGGTTAAATGCAGCTGCAAGATCTGTCCGTGTCCGAGCGAGTGGTCATTTCCGATGCTGCGTGTCTGCCAGGCCAAAGGTTGCTTCATGTAGCTACGCCGGCAGAGCTCTCCCGCACTGGTGTGCAAACTCACGACAGCGAAGTATGTGTTGCTAGGAGTGTATGCCGGAACATAACGGCAAAATCGCTAGTAACCGCAATGCGTGCGTGATAATCGCGCGGTCGTCGTGTCGATTCTCGCCCGACGACAATCGCATTTCCGCCGACGGCGAAAGAGAGCCTGCCTCTCGCCGGTGAAGACGTGACGCACACGTGCGTGGACGCTCCATTCATCGCTTCTGTGCGGGCCACCCGGCGATAATCCGCAGTCGCCACCTGCCCGTGCCGCCGACCTTGGAAAACCTGCGCGCCGCGCCCGAGAAAACGGTAAACGCTCTCCCGCGAACGAACCCTCCTCTAATTCCAGTGTAAAACCTGTTTTACACGGTCATTTTTGCATCCTTTTTTCATCATTTTTCTGTACAGTAAGTGGAAGGAAAAAGGACGTTTGTTTCTACGCAGTATGTTTCCGTGCTGAAACTGGATGAGAGTGATTCCAGCGTTTTACACGGTCATTTCTGTCTTTGTACGTAATCATGAAGAAAATACTTCCTCCCGACGCCGCATATAGCGCTGAAGTTCAATCATTTGAACATCGCATCTGCGGTAACAGATTAAGTTAGGTTATATTAGGGCCGAGCACGGATGCGACAATATTAGAATACAGTACATAATTTATTTCTCACTACATAACCACTTCACATGACAATTCAACACATCAAAATGCTCTCTTGCAACTAGAAAATGAACATTTCGCTCCACACGCATAACAAACCAGAGAAAGTCCCGTAAAGTGCCGCCAGGAACGCGGTAGTCAAACTGGATGAAATCAGTACCGAAAAAATAAGCATGCGTCATTTTTTCGTACATATTACATCCAATCCGGTCTGTCTCTTTTCTGTACCGGCGAAAAATGATGAAAAAATGATCGTGTAAAACAGGCTTAAGGCCATTCATTGTAACTATGTGTGTACAAGTAATTTAGTAGTTTCTTTTATAATTAAATTCTGTTCATGGCCATTCATGTTTTATTACGTTATCAACATTTTCCCATTTTCCTTCCCTGCTTGGCAATTTGTAGTTTAAATGATAGGGCAAATAAATACGCATTAGAAGTATTTGCGTTCTTGCTGCAGCGCCCAATCGCTGGCTAAGACGGTCAGCTTACCAACAGAAGGGGATAAGCCTGGAGTGTTTGCAGATGGGCGGTTGCGGTAAAATATTTATTACCATGACTAAAAACCAGATTCTTTCAATATTTTCTTTAAATCCGTTATGGACCAAATTGTATTGTGAGAATTTATGAGTTACCGGAGCGTGCTTTGGAAATATGAATTCCATTTTGTGGAAAAGTTCATTTTTACGGAGAGTTTCCAATATCGCGATTAACATTGTAGCATTTTATATTAATATCTACCTCTGGTGATGAATATTTTTTACTTTACAGTTTTTTTTAAATTCTTTTCGAACACGCGAATGCTTTATTTAATATAATCCATAGTTCCTGTCCCCCCAATTAAAAAAAGTAGCTGTCTTCGTGACCCTACCAACATCGACCTTGAGGGTTCCTCTCCGATTTGTGCTCCGGCCTCCATGGCTTAGGCGCTTATAGAGGTATAATTATTCCAGTTTGACCACAAAACCACGAATCGCATACCTTGGACACCAGTGATATTTGTTTACAATAAAAAATATTAAAAAAAAAAAGAAATGAACTTCGATATTAGGGAAGTACTATTTTGATACACAATTTATTTATCTCCAAAAGAATAGTTAAAAACATTGAGTGGTAATTAAGGGTGAAATGTCTGTGAATATTTTCTTGATCTTAAGAATATCACCCCTAGCACTTTTACTGTATTAAGCTGATTTATGAATTCAGTTAGCACCAATGAACACACAGTTGCGCGGTGAGTCTGTGCCGTTCGTATTGCTCGGGGAGACGCGCGCAGGTTTGAAGCGCTCCAGATTTCCCAATTAATTGATTTATTGATTAGTGTTAACGGGTGCATCAATTGACAAGCTCATTAGTCCCATAAGCGTCGTGCGAGCTTTATCGTGGTAGATAACGGTGAATTCCCCCCCCCATGATGAAATCCTGCGCCGACCTACACTCGCTTATCGACTTTCACCGCCAGATATCACTCACTAGCGGATCACCCCCTCACCAAGGTCTAGCTTCTAATTGGTCTCCCAACATGTGTGGCAATGTATTTTTTGTAAAGGTGTGTGTGTGTGTGTGTGTGTGTGTGTGTGTGTGTGTGAAAGGAAGGGGTGAGGATAGGACAAGACAAGGGATCGTGTGCAGTCCGAGGATGATTTGTTAGATATGTACAGTACAGTACAGTACAGTACAGCTCCGTCATTCGCTTGGTTTTGATCGAAAAAACAGGGAAAACTACTGATTAGAGGGTGTGTCTAGCTAGTGTCGAAAATCCTGTCAACGGCGGGACTCGAACCTAGGACCTCGCTGCCAGCGGCTCTGCAATGATATCATTTGATGCCCTGAGCCACATAAGCCAGTCGAGATTTCCCGAAAGGTATATCGAACTAGAGTATCGTGCCGGACTCAGAAAATCCGCTGATCACGGTTCAGAAATCATATTCTCAACTCTGTCATATAAGAACGCAATTCATCTCTGTTGATACATCAGATATGTTTCTTTGTCAATGAAAGAACGCCCTCTAAAAAAAAATTAAAATTAAAAATCTCGCACTCTCCTCTGCCCTCTACCATCCGCGGAAGCAGGTTCTTACTTCTGACCGCTACCTCCCTCCCCGCGATCTGTAGACGAATGGAAAGAAGAGACGAGACCGCCGGCGGTATCGAGTCACAAAGAAAATCGAAGAGCGAGTCGAGAGTGTGGGGCGGGTGTGAGGTCGACGCTCTGCCGAGGTGATGAATCCGAGTGCGGTGCCCCGCTGAAAAGGCGATTGCAGGCGAAATCAGGATGAAAGGTGGGAGCGTAGGCTGCCGCGGCCGGAGTCGGTATTTAATTGGCTGTCCGGGTGGCGCCGCGTCCGTGGCAAAGGTTCCATGGCTTAGAATGAAAGGTAGTTACGGCCGGAATGGAAATTTCGCCACAAAAGTTCAGTAATCAGAGCAGATATAATCCTTCTGCGTTTACAGAGTGATACAGTTCAGGACGCAAAAAACACCATCTACTCCTCAGTTAGATGTACAAATGTTTCTTATGTTATTTT